TCCAGATATAGCCTAAGTAATCCTCTTTTTTTAAAAACGTTATCAGTAAGCAACATTTCTAAGTAATGTTTACTGTTGGAATTCTCCTTCCTACAATTACTGTTCTTGGAATTTTGTAAATAGATAAAGCAGATGAAATTCTTAACTGCTGAAACCACAAAGAAGCCACAGAAATATATGGGTAAAGGCAAGTATACACTAAGTTAGGAATTTCAGAATGGGCCTTAAATCCCTGACACTATAATATTAAGCACAGATATAAACACTTGATAATTTTATTTATTTAAAAAGGAGCCAGGTTTTTTGTTTGTTTGTGAAATAAAACATTAAACCTGAATTTAAAAGGAAAATAAACAGTGACAAATATTTAATATTGGTTACAATAACTTTGATTTTTTTGTGAAAACTGTTCATTCTTATGTGTAGCATATATGTACCCACATATATATATATATAAGTTTGTATAAGGGTACTTAAGAGCATTTGTGGAAAATGAGATTAAAAGGATGCAAAAAATTTTTAAATCCATAATAGTTATAATATGCATTTCCATGTACTTTTTAAAGATCTGCTCTGTGCATGGATACCAACATTTTGTGTCAGAATAAATTAATCTTTTAGTCCCATTTTCCATGAACTTTTTAAAGTACCCTAATTTAAGTGTGTGTGAATACAGATTTTCATTTCTTTCAAACTAGTAAGAAGGCAACTAACATTACAACCTACTGTACATACCATGGAATCAGACATCACACAAGTGAAAGCTCTTTTTTATCAGCAAAAACAACATTACAGGCTTAACAAAAATTATTGCAGAGAATGAAGTGTTACGGCTTTGTTAAAACTAAATCTACCTTTATCTGTTCTCCATATAAATAAAGTTGAAATACTTGCGACTACTTAGCCTTCTGCAGCATCTTTCCTTCTTACCGTGTTTTCCTCACAAATAATCAGTTTCCTCGCATTAAAATAAGTGAAAAGCCCCTCTGTGCATTACACAAATAAAAATATTATCAGTGTTATCAGAGTTTTTGGACATGACTATAGGTATATTTATTTAACTAGCATTGAAAGTTGCCCTCCTGGAGACAACACCTGCTATTCACAAAGACACGAGCCAAAGGTCAGAATAAACTATCCTCAGCACAGATGTAGGGGCACTTCTGGGTCACCCTGTATCCCGTACCGTCAGCACCCTCTGTGAAGTAAGAACAGGCGGTGGTATCCCATTTAGCATATGAGGACACTTGAAAAAGTTCACACAAAAATTGAAAGATTAATAATTTTTGGTGCAAAAAATTGAAATCTTTAATTTTCCCATAACACATTTTCCATGAACTTTCTGAAGATCCTACATATACATGACCTTTTTAAAAAATTACACCAAAATAAACTTTTAATTCCATTTTCCATGAACTTTTTGAAGTTCTCTGGTAACAGAAAGGTGTAACACAGGTAACTCAATATCTGGTCTTGAAAAGTAGTTAAAATGTGATAATGTTAGTATTAACGAAGTACAAATTAAACTACTTATGTTAAAGAAAATGTTTCGTTTCCTTCATTATTTTTAGAATATGTTCCTTTTCCCTTTTCTGCTTTTGCAGAAAGTAGGAAGGGGGATTAGTGGATAATTACATTGCTGTGATTGCAGCACCTGTGTGTTATTTCTTTTGATTGGCTAGTTCTCTACGAAGGATTCCTACCAGCTGAAAGTCTCCCTTATCAAATGGTTTTTATTAGCTAATTTTGACTTGTTTTAAATTTACAGCACAAACTTTAATTCATCCTTATCTTGTACTTTGAATTTCTGTTGTGAAATTTCGTTTACCTTCACCTTTTTATCATCTTACCCATTTCAGGTTTTTAATTTCAGTGGCAACGACAACCTGCACTCACAGTAGGAATACAGCATGAATTGTCGTGTTGTTGCTGCCATCTAGTTTGTGTATGCTACTCCATTTATAGGTACTAATAAGCCTTCCCTAGAGAGCTGCCTTTTAAGGAGTAAGTGTCTAACCTATTGTAAGGAGAGATAGGAATTAGGTGCTTTGGATTCTGGTTATAGTTGCAGATGCTAACAGCACTGTTTTGAACTTTATCATCTCAATCATAGAAAGCACCTTGCTGTGCACTCACAAGTACAGTTTAAGTATGGCAAGTTGAATATATTGTTTATGTACGTTTTCCAAAGTAAAAAAGAACAGATTGGATTGCTTTGTTTTAATGTTACTTGACTATATCTTTATAATTTTCCAAGTTTAATGATCTCCCAAAAAGGAAACGTCAGATTTTAGCTTGCCCTAATATGTGATGAGTGCTGTAGTTTTTAAATTCATCCATTCCTGATGGTTTTTCTCTCTGCCACTTGTACTTGAACTTTTTAAAATTCATTTTAGAAAGCATTGTTTTTACTAATTAAGAATAATTTTATTGACTAGATCATGTGTTTTTATACAGATCTTTGATCTGGATAAATTGAGTTTTGTGCAGCTGTGAATTAGGGTTTCTTCAGTGTTACAGACATCCTTCTCTAGAGTGAAGTAGAAGCACCCTCCAAAATATGTCTGATCTAGATCATCCTTTTCCTAGTTTGATGAGTTTAGTACACAGGAAATACTCTCCCTGATGTAGAAATACTAACATGTGCTTTCCTTCTGCCTAATTTTTGTGTAAACTCTAAATATAATAAGATAAAGTAAGATATTTCATTTACAGGCCCTCTGAAAGTAGAGCGTTTTGAAAGCAGGTAGGTGTCTCCACCCTACTTTTCATGAAGCATTTTACCCATTCAAGCAGACTTTTAAAAACAGCTTGTTTTGATAGCAGACTGTTCTCCTGTGGGCCTGCAGCCTTTGCTTCCTGGCAGCACCTTTGGTGCGAAAAGAGAGTGATCAATTGGGAGACTATCAGTGCCAGCATGCATAGAGTGATAAGTTAACACACCACTGGGAATTTCTAGGGCCCACCAAGATACTTCACTTCTAATGTGCTAACAAGCTCATTTTTCTACCTCTTGCCTCTTCAGTTATTTTTTTTTCTCAGAAGAGCTTAGAAGTTGAGTGCATCAGGCATAATGAAAAGCTCTGTAGGAGGGAGAAGCAATAACCCCATTTTTCCCTTTTCAGCCAAATAGAAAATTAGTTTCTGGTAATACACAAAGGCCAGTATTTTTTGTACAAGGGGCACTGCTGTGAATCAAAGGACTCTATTAACTGCAGAAAATTCGGCAGCTGTGAATCTCCCCCAATGAAAAAAGTACTTTCCAACAAGTTGTGAGATATGTGGTATTATTTAGATTGAACCATCAGTTTCATCCTCTTCCATTTATAACCATATATTCTCTTTAAAAGTGCTATATTACTTTTCCATGTGAGGACGCAAAGATGTCTATGTTATTTTCCCATAGAATCCCTACTGCCCATCATTTTAATATAGCCATCTTGTCCTGTTGCTAACCATTTCAGAAATAAAATTATTTTGAAGTTTAGCCCTAGTATACTGAATTGAAAATAATGGATTTCAAAGAATTGGAATTTAGGCTATTTCAATATTTGATGCATAAAATACATTGTAATACAACAAGAGACTATGCCAGCTATTTAGAGGGTAAAAGATACCACAAAGTCAAGCACATAAGGAATATACTATAGCCTTACCTTCTATGCTTTTCTGTCTCCTTTATCAATCTTGTCAGTGTAACTGGCCACAGAGTCACACATTCATTTAAATTTGTCATTTAAAATTAACTTCCTCTCAAATTTTATTTTTCTTGGTCTTGGTTATAGTTGTGGTGTACAATTTCTAGAATTGTAGAACTATAATAATTAAACTGCATTTTTTAAAAAAGTAAGACATTTTGAGGGGGAAATGTTACAGTGGGTTTTGGAAAAAAGGAAGAACCAATAGGCAAATTTTTGTTAGCCTTCTTTAAATGTCTTATATACTTTTTTATTATCCTTATTTAAATGTCAACATAGCACACTGAGTACAGCAGGAAAACTTTCAGAAGTTGTAGAAGAAAGGTTAACTGATTTCTCAGTTCAGGAACTATACGACATGAAGTCAGCATGCGAGTTTTTCCTGATAATTGTATGTTGCTGCCTGCTGCTCTACATTTTGACAGCCATTTCCATAGTTGCTTTCATGAACAACGGAAATATTCTCTCTCTTTCTCGCCCTCTCTGTGCTAACAGCACAATCAGACCTGCTGAAACAGGAAGCCTGGAGTGGGTTGTTCAGAAGCAACAACACTCCAAGGTACTGGTTGCTTGTCAATAATATCAGAGAAGAAAATGTGGTGAAAGGGAAGTACAGTATTTTTCTGTCAGTGTCAGTGCCCTGTAGATGCTTTTGTTAGTATTTAGGAGTCCTGTGGCTTCTTTGCAAATATTCCTGCTTGTTTCAGTGTTATAATTGACGAGGTATTTTTTTCCTGACGTACAGATTCGGCTATGTATTTATCTTAGCCTCATGGAGTTATTCAAGGATTATAGCAACAGTAGTCTTCCATTCAAAATGAGAACAATTGTTGTAAAAATGTAGGGATTTTAGAAAAGAAGATATGCAGGAATTTTTCACAATAAATCTTTGAGAATGAAAAATACAGAATTCAGACATAGTATTTAAGTGTTTTATTTATTGCATGGCTTTTAGATTAAATGTGCAGATGGAAGCTGATTAGCAAGATGAGCCTGCACTGACCTGATAGCAGGTGAATCTTTTCTCAAACTGTCAACTTCCTTTCTTCTAACAGTGTAATATTAATAATTATTTTCTAATAAATGTATTCCCATTATTTTGTCATTTACAGTGGTTTCCTGAGGAGGAAACTTACATTGAAAAGGCCATTCTTTTAATAGTATACAAAAATAATTAGTTCATAATTATATTTATTAAGAAGTAATGGCTTGATAACCATAGTTTTTTGTTTTTGTTTTTTGATGAGCTTTTCCCCCCAATATAAGCTGCATTTGGGTGAATCCTTAACCAAAGGAAACCAGCTATGAGGAGCGAGCGCGATACCTGCAGACAATTGTCCAGCACCATTTAGAACCAACAACATTTGAAGATTTTGCAGCACAGGTTTTTTCTCCAGCTCCCTACCATCACTTACCATCTGATACTGGTACGCGTAAAAGCAAGTATTAGTTACTTGTTATTGAAACTTGAAATGCAATACCCTTTTGTTCTAAAGTTTTGCTCGAGTAAAATTCTAATCACTGAAATATATTTTTCATCACTACTTGAATTTGGCCTGTAAATTTCATGAATACTTTCTTTTACCTAAATGCAGTTCCTTAAAAAGCCAGCAGTATTCATAAAAGTACGTGCACCACATTTTATCTGAGCTAATGGGTAGTGAGACTTGCATCTCATGGGATCCTTGACAAAATATCTGCAAAAGAAACAAGTTGAGCATGAACCCCCAACTTGAGAGAATGGCATTTTTTGGACAAGAATAGCTAAAAAAACTTGTCAAGATTTAGAAGTACTTAATATAGTAAATTATATTAAAGGCTGTAAGAGGGTACTGCATTTTTACAATTAACTAATTTTGAAGAAATCAGTAAAACAATAAATGACTCGTGGCCTTCCTATTCTGTAATATCTTGCACTCCTTATGATTGTTTCATTTATTTTATTTTCCCTCTTTAGATCATTAAATATCAGTTCTGTTTATCTGAAGGTAAGATGAATTGTCAACCAAAACACCCTCCGTTCTTCCAGTTCCTGTTTTCAAAATCAGCAGGCTCTAAGCTTGGAACTCAAACAATAAGCAAACTTAACACTGCCCTGGTTCATACTAAACATGGCAGAAATTGTCACTACATTTTTTCCAGATTTATACTAACCAACCCAGGTCTGCATGAAACACTAACATGGTTTGGGGATAAAATTACTAATAATAGAACCCTTTGGTTGAAATTAGTTATACCTTGTTCTATTGACCTTTTTTGGTTTCTCAGCATGAAAAAACCGTAGCAGTATTGAACTACAGTGGTGTGGCTTTGTATTTTGTAATGTGTTGCATTGTTCTTGAATATCTTACCTCATCAAATGGTTATTCTCTGTGTGCCTGTGCTAGGCACCTGAAAAACAAAGATGACTATTGCAGTGTTGAAGGGAAGCAGCAAATGAGAACCTAATAGTCTTGAAATTAATCATAATAAGCCTTCAAACCCTTTATGTTAATTAAAATTTCTTTATATTAAGTTTAAAAGGTACAGCACTCCTTTTCTAGCCTAATTTATTTGAAAAAAATTTTTTACCACAATTCTAAATTGAGGTTCAGTTACAAAGTTTCCCTTTCTGTCATTAAATTGCCAGTAGAAAAATATTTTTACCAGAAAACTGAAATCCCTTTCAATTAATAAGGTAGAAAAGAAAGAAACAGACTAGGCTGAGTCTTTTGAAAGACTGATAAAAATAAATTTGCTTTAATGGGTTGACACTATCTAAAATTTCTCATTAATTAAAATTAAATTAAAATTTGGCATTAAGAGAAAAATATTAAAAATTAATGAACAGCAAAATGAACATTAAGTATACATAACAATTATATTATTTGATAATATGATTAAATATCATACTATTAAAACAGATATGAATAACACTTTTGTGTATCACATAGTTAAGCCATAAATTTTACAAGTTAAAAGATAATGATAATAGGACCACATTAGAATGAACTTTTCCTTTCAGATTTCTAAAAACTGTTCAGTTATGGTCTGGTTGTTTGCCAGCTGGAGTCCTTCCTAATTGTCATCTTACTGTTCTTCTCATGCTTTACGTAATACCCTCCACATGTAGCTGGGCAAACCTATGGAGGGCAAGTAGTATCCTTGCATTCTGAGACGCCACAGCCAGGTCAGGGCTCTGTGGGCTTTGTTTCTATTGTATCCTGCTGCTTTATTCTTCAGGTTGTTTGACATAACACAATTTTCTTAATGGCAATAAAAATGTGAATTTTAACAAAAACATATTTACTACAAATTTTTTCAGTTGATTTTCAAAAATTAGCATTACTTTTAGGAACCATTAGAGACATGCACTCTAATTTTCAGAGGAATGTTTTTATGTAAGTAACCATCAGCATTGCTGAAGACATCTCTATACAAGTTTTCAGACCTTCCTAGTTATGACAGAGAATTTTTATCAAAGTAATTCTCAGTTTAACAAAAAATAAAACATTTACTTCTACAGTAGCAAAAATGCTGTGGTATCTGAAGCATGATTTTTTTTTCTTCTAATTCTCTCACATCTTGATTTTCCCATCATAAACTATCCCATACTTATGGACCTCAAATTATAAGTCAAAGAGGGGAAAGGGAAGTTAGGAAATAAGCCACGTAATAGGAGTTCGTACCTGACTTCTGGCTTGCAAAAATGACATGAAAGAATGAAGTTTTTTAGGGTTTTTTTTGTTTTGTTTTTTGTTTTTTTTGGAAAGGCAGAGTTAGAGAGAAAGGTGTTCCTTCCGTTGGTTCACCCCCCAAATGGCTGCTATGGCCGGCGTGCTGCGCCGATCCGAAGCCAGGAGCCAGGTGCTTCCTCCTGGTCTCCCATGCGGGTGCAGGGTTCCAAGCACTTGGGCCATCCTCCACTGCCCTCCTGGCCCACAGCAGAGAGCTGGACTGGAAGAGGAGCAACCAGGACAGAATCCGGCACCCCAACTGGGACTAGAACCCGGGGTGCCAGAACCACAGGTAGAGGATTAGCCAAATGAGCCACGGCGCCGGCCTGGTTTTATTTTTTAACACAATGATAAAATGTTTCACTACATTGAAGAAATTGATTCATAATTGCAATTGAGACTCAACTTTATAAACTACTCATCAATAACAGTAGCAATAATTTGAAATTATGTTTCAAATAAATGCCAGTATGGATGATTATATTCTTTCTAACCAACCCTGTAACAATTCCGTTCAGTGGAATAGTATAAAATTTAAATAGTATAAATATTTTAAGTAGTATAAAGTTTATTTAATTTAGTTCAAGATGAACTAAAACCTACTTTCTGGCTACCAGTAATGTACCAAATGTGAAGATATTTAAGTCCAAAACAGGATTTTTTAAATGTAACTTTTAGTATTATTTAAACAAGATTTTGGTATATTGTAGTTGATTCATATAAACTTTATAACTGTATTTTCTCAGAATGTACTGTCTGTGGCAGTAGAGTAATACTCAAGGGAAATTATTTTTATCCCTAAGGTCATTGAGGGAAATATCGTGATGTCACATTTTGTTGATCTTCTATAACGACATTAAAATATTATTAGATTTTTCTTGTCTTTCACATAAAAAAATTACAGGAAAAAATCCCTTTATCTTTGTCAGGCATGTGTGTGGAACACATCAAAAGTTTAACAGTGACTTTAACTTGTTTATATTTACAAATACCTTTCCTCTAACTATGAACTTCAGAATGAAGTTATGCCCCTCTTTGGCCAGAATACAGTGGTAGTTCAAAAATAAACTTATTTTTCCCTGTTATATACATTGTCTTTTCAACATTGTCCTTTTTAATATAAAATTGTAGATTGCCAGCACAAAACAGGATCTTATTAATTGGTTTGTATTTCTCAATTTCAGCATTAAAAATATACCCATAATTTTTTTGATATTGTCTTTTTCAGCCCATCAGCCAGAAATGTTTTTGAATGGCTGTTGTGTGGTATATCTAGGCTCACCTCTAATATTGTTATTCTAACAGAAGTACTAGATACCTTCCTTTGGGTTGTTTTTCTACAAATTAGAGATTTTTAATTCTGTGATAAAGGATTGATTGGCATCTGATTCTGTGTACACACATTTCTATTCATACATATTACTTTTTGTGTTGTTTAAAAAATATCTTAAAGGGATATTATAAAAATAAGATTCAAATGTGATTTTTGTGCCCACAATAGAGAGAGAATCTGCAGAGGGTGATTAGGAAGGCCTAGAGGAGCGTCTGGTCTACCTTCATTCCAGCTTCACTCTTGCCGGTCACAAGATCTGTCTTGTCCTTTGTAGAAAGGATGGGATGTATGATGGTCAGTTCCATCTTTTTTATTCTTTGAGTAGTGTGCATCATCAGACTTCGGCCATTGCTCTGGGTAAAGTTTTATCCTGGGTCTGTTCTCTAAGTTGTTTTAAACTTTCCTCCCCTTCCCAGGCTTTAAAATGATCTCAAAGAAAGCATGTTAACCCCTCAGAAGATAGGCCTAGAAGATTTATGTATTTGAAAGAGCAACAGAGAGAGAATGATCTTCCTTCCATCCTCTCCTTAACTCGGCAAATGCTCTTCCCCTCAACCCCCTGCCAAAACAGCCAAGGTTGGGCCATGTAGGTCTCCCACATAGGTGGCAGGAACCCAAGCACTTGTGCCATCTTCTGTCCCCTTCAAGTAAGCAGGAAGCTAGATCAGAAGCAGAGTAGCCAGGACACAGACCACCATTCTGGTATGTGATACCTGTGTCACAGTTAGTGGCATAACCTGCTGCACCACAACGCCAGCTTCAGAAGACAGTTATATTACAGATATCCTAGTTTTTTGTTTGTTTTGTTTTTTGTTTTTACAGGCAGAGTGGACAGTGAGAGAGAGAGAGAGAGAGAAAGGTCTTCCTTTTGCCGTTGGTTCACCCTCCAATGGCCACCACAGCCTGCGCGCTGCGGCCAGCGCACCGCGCTGATCCGATGGCAGGAGCCAGGTGCTTCTCCTGGTCTCCCATGCGGGTGCAGGGCCCAGGCACTTGGGCCATCCTCCACTGCACTCCCTGGCCGCAGCAGAGAGCTGGCCTGAAAGAGGAGCAACCGGGACAGAATCCGGCACCCTGACCGGGACTAGAACCCGGTGTGCCAGTGCCACAGGCAGAGGATTAGCCTAGTGAGCCGCGGCGCTGGCCCAGATATCCTAGTTTTTAAGATGCCATTAGGAATCATTTTCCTTGAATACATAACATAAGCTATAAATGTGTTAAAAATGAGTAGAAATTGGTGTTTTAAAACATTAATCACTAAGTTTGCCTGAAATTATAGACAAAAACATTCTGTAAATAGGCTCATGTGTTACTGGCCAAGAGGCAAATAATATTCATCTTAAATACTATTCATTAAACTTTTTGTGACAATTACCCACTTAGTCTAAATATTCTCATCTCTTCGTTGATAGATAAGTAGGAAGAGAGAGCAAGCACTCAACCTGCCATATTTATAAATTAGAAATTGAGGATTTTTAAGACTATTTTTCCCAGCCTTTAAAAAAACTCTTTATATAAGGTTGCCAAGGTAAAAGTGTGGGCTTTGGAATCAAAGAGATCGGGATTTAAATCCTAGTTCTGCCATTTATTATCCACATGAACTCAAATTAATCTATCCTACATTAAAATGTGGTTTCACATTTATAAGAAGGAGGTAAGAGATTACAAGCTTGGCCCGAATTTTTCTAAGTCTGTAACAGTAGCAGGTTCTTAAATATCATAGATGTGTCTAGGTGTGGACATTTAACCTACAAGTTACGATGCCCACATCTCGTAACCGTGCCTAAGTTCAGACTCAGCCCCAGCTTCGGATTCCAACTTTCTGCAAATGCAGTCTGGAAGGCAACAGTGATGGTTCAAGTAATTGAGTTCCTGCCACCCACGTGGGAAACCTGGATTGAGTTCCCAGCTCCCCGTCTCAGCTCTAGCTGCAGGCATTGAGGAGTGAACCAGTAGATGGGAGCACTCTGTCCTTTCTCCCAATTTTTTCAAACTTTTTCCTTCCTCTTTCCTTCTAATCCTAACCTAACCCTAACCTGATTCAAAGGCTATTAACTTTTACTCCTCTCTATTTAACGCCTGCATTATGCAGCTGGACTTACTTTGTTCCAGGATCTTTGCATATGGTAAGCATTGATCCTCACAGCAATTTTGTGAAATACTTGTCTCCATTTTACAAATAAAAAAAATGCCACTGATTAGTTGGCTCAAGCTCAAACAGCTAACAGGGACAGGAGTTGGACACAGCAGTTAAGTTGTCACTTGGGACACCTGCATCCCATATCTGACTCCAGGGTGTAAGTCTCAACTCTGCTTTGAATTCTAGCTTCCTGCTAATGTGCACCCTGGGAGGCAGCAGTTGATGGCTCAAGTGCTTGGGTCCCTGCCACTCAGAGTGGTTATCTAGACTGAGTTCTGCCTCCTGATTTCAGCCTGGCCCAGCTCTGCCGATTTCAAGAATCTGGAGAGAACCAGCAGATGGAAGATGTCTGTCTCCCTTTCTTTCTCTGTCTCTGCATTTCAAATTAAAAGTAACTTTTTAAGTTAAAAAAAAAAAAAGGTAGTAAAGTGACATACTTGGCATTTGATCTAGGAGTATGCCCACATTCTTTTTAATAGTTATGAACTGGGGGTGGGCATTTGTGGCACAGGTTAAACAACCACTTGCCACGCCAGCATCCCATATCAGAGTGCCAGTTCCAGTCCTGACTATTCTGCTTCTGATCCAGTTTGCTGCTAATGAGCCTGGGAAGGCAGAAGTTGGCCCACATACGTGGCCCCTACCACTCAGTTGGAGACCAGAATGGAGTTCCTGGCCCCTGGCCTTGAGCCCAGCCCATCCCTGGATGTTAGGGCCATTTAAGGAGTAAATCAGCAGATAGATGTCTCTTTTATTTATTTGAAGAGGGAGAGAAAGTAATCAATCTTAAAAAAAATATATTGTATCTTAGTTCAGTAACTTTACCACTTTTAAACTGATCATTTATATCACTGTCCAAACCATAATTAAGTGACAACCCACTGAGTTCTCTGTTATAATCCATATAGATTCCCAAAGTAATATTCATATTATTTGTAATAATAGTTAATTATAGCCAATGTGCAATACATGGATCAATGTATTCTGCCATCAAGATAGACGCACTGTGTGAGCACTCCAAGAGAGTAACACATACGTCATACATAGCTGGGAGCCCACAGGTACTCTGGGAACTCTGTCCTTAGGGATATAATAATATAAGCGAATCTGCATTATTTATGGTCCAGGAGATGAAATGACATGTAGGTATCACTGTATTCTTTACATGTAAAATTGAGGCCTATCCACTGTGAATTATTTGTGGAGTTTGCATATGTTGAGTATATAGCACAAATGCCATTTGCTAGTGCATGGGAACTTACAGATAACTTCCACCACCCACACTGACAAGCCCGAGTGGCCTCTCAGTTGACTGAAAGGGGACTCAACTAGAAATAAGGGAGACAAAAAATGGTTTTGGGAAAAATATTCTTCGAGTTTGGTGGACCATAAGTGATCTCCGATAAAACTTTCTACGATGGTAGAAATGCTCTGCACTGCCCAGTATAGCAGCCGAACATGTGAAGTATGGCTAGCGGACTGAGAAACTGAATTTTTAATTAAGTTTGATGAAATTTATTGGGGCTACCATACTGGACAGTTCAGTGCTAGAGATTTTATTCCTGGGTGGTTAGGATAATATGCCACCAGTACAGTGAACACTTTAAAGAAAGGTGAGTGTTACTGAAACTCTCATAGACGTTTTTTCTTCTTTTTTCCTATATGAACTTGTGTTGTTAGTTGGTAAGTATCTCATTTGTAAGTACAAAGCACTGTCCATTGTCAGACATCACCATTGGAACTCACTGCATGCTCAGTTACATTTCCTAACGAAACCCTGATTCTTCTCCGCTTCTCGATTAACATCTGTAAACTTCTGCATTGTGTCGCTCATGTCTGTTACCTGTCTTCTCTCTCGTTTTCTCACTTCTGCTTGCTACTCCATTCTTCATTCACAACAAAGAAAGAAAGGCAGTGATAGTTCTCTTCCTCCCAAAGCCTCCGCTAGAAAACATTGGCCATCTCAAGGTAAACAGCCACGGGAAGGCCTCCCACACCGCGGGACCCAGTGCATTACCACAAAGCATGAACCACCCACCGCTCTTCACCTTCCTCCGCCATCCCTCTGCAGCGCTTCCCTGTCAAGGGCCATGGGTTCGTAAGATTTAGATTTCCCAATACAGATCCACTACAAACAGTTCAGATCTTCAGGAAGAATAAAGGCATATAGAATTACTTCCTTCTCCTCATGTTTCAAAGAGCTGGCTCATTTCAGTTCAGACGTAGAAGATACTTTGAGGAGGAAAGTAGTTGACCTAGATTATGAGTTCACAAAATTTTCTCCCTTAGTACTGTGTACGCCAGACATAACGTGGCCTTAACTGCTTCACACATCAGGAGACAGTAGGATCCGTACTCCTTATTGAACATTTTTGCTTTTCTTTAAATAGTTAGAACCTTAAGCACAGATGTTTCATTAGATGAAGTGCTGGCATAATTATTTCCAAGGTTGAAGCATCAGTGAGGTGTGCTGCACTGGCTAACAAATAAACCAAAAGTTTCCCTCCAAAGTAAGGGAGTGTATAAATTTAAGCCTGCAACATGGGTGGGGTTTTGCTTGTTTGTGACACAAACTTTTCATATACTCAGGCCCCTCAAAACCTGGATGAAAGTGCCTTAAAACACAAAAATACTTGAAAAAGTTTGTGAAAAAATGGAATTGTAAATTTTCATACAGAAAAAATACTAATATCTGTGCATAGCTTTTTCATAATATGCCTTTTCCATGAACATTTCGATGACCTCTCATATACAGAATTGTATGTTTTGTTTCCAGATTTTCTACTTCTAATGTAATCTTACTCATTTGTCTAGAAAATATTTAAAAACTTACGGTGTTCAAGATTCTGTAAAGAATCGTAATTCATAGAAATAAAATACAGAGGTGAAGAACCACTTTGTAAATGACACAAAGAATTTTCTTTGTTTTGCTTCTTTTAAAATCTTAGCTCTACTAAGTACCAGTTACTTGCTGTGCCTGAATACTGTAACTGCCCAAGTTTAGCTCTTCTAAATTAAGAAATTTGAGCCAATTTGTCCTTTTTGACTGACTTGCAGATGAGAATTCTTATCTTTGTCCCCTCCCCAGGAATTCATCTTTCTCTTTCCTAAGACCATATTTAAACACCAGCATGTACAGTGGTCTCATAGTGCTAAGTTCCTTCTTGGAATTGTTGGTTCCAAAATTGAAGCTGCCCCACCCCCGCCTCTTGATTTCGGTTATGTACCTTGAACCCTAGAGAGAGGATTGGTTCTCCTCACTTGCTTCTTGAGCTCTTCGCTGCATGTGGATGGTGCTGTGGATCCCCGTTCTTGCTGGCCCAGATTTTGTTTCCCATTACTTTTTCCACGGTTCTGGCCCCGAGATACTGATTGGCGCTTTCTTGCTAATACGATGGCCTCTGCCAGCAGCTCAGGGAGCTGTTGTAGCAGGCAGGTTGGAGGCTTGCTCTCTCCCTCCAAAGACCTGCCTGAGGGTCGGGATCCTTGCCGCAGATCGGCAGCAGAAAGGTCATTCCAGATGGGATGAGAGGACGGGTGCCGGACTAACGTCCTTGCTGTTTCCTGCAGGCTCCTACCCAGAGGTTCTACCCAGTGAAACTCCCACAGCCACGCAGGTAGACGGGGCTGACCTGGCCTCGCCAATGTCTCCTCGAACTAGCAAAAGCCGCATGTCCATGAAGCTGCGTCGTTCCTCTGGCTCAGCCAATAAATCCTAAGGAGACAGCAGCCCAGGAGTGACCAGCAGTAGTAGCCACCTTAGCACGAACACAGTGTTAACCCTCTCAGGCCCTCGTGTCTGCCATACCACGCATGCTCCTTCCTGTACATTTGAGAAAACACTGGATTTAAATAATTTGTAACTTAATATTTTAATGTGGATTATTTATTTTTGTTTCCCCCCACACTCCAAGCTGCCATATTTTGATGGTGTGGAGTTTTATTCTACATTCTTTACCTTCCTAGATAATTATGTGTCAGTAGTTTTACCTTAATTTCAAGATAAACTTTGAGTTAAAATATAATTGGACAGTAGTCTATTTATTGTTTCCCATTGCATCTTTATGTCTCAATAAATATCAATTTTTTTTTACAAATGTAAGGTTTTAAGTTTAAGCATTTGTAAAGTTAGGGCAAAAGTTACAAATCTGTTAATACACAGAATGTGTACAGATTATTTATGTTATGAGAATAAAACACTCAAAGTAAATGGACTTTTAGCATCTCGAATTCCTTGGAAACAATTTTAGCATTAACAGTTTCCTCCCAAGGCAGTGTCTCACTTGTCGGCTGAGCAGCTAACGCTGTGACATACCCATTAACAGAACAATCACTGTGCTGGACTTTGATTTATGTTTAGCTTCCAGATATTTTTCTAATGTTTTGCTTTTTTAAGTGGTATCATTGTTAAATGCCATTTCTATTTGGAGATTGTGACCCTTTATTATGGACTGCTAGGTCCTGGTGTACCTGTATTCTCTTAAAGTACCAAACAGAGCAGAGAGGGAGGGAAGAAGGAAGAAACTTTGCTGAAACAAATTGCTCAAATTATGTGTATTTAGAAAAAGAAAAAGTAAAGGGAACCTGACCCAGGAGTGTAAGGTAAACCTGATGGTGTTAAAACCGAACTTGCAGGTGCAAGTTGTCCACATTCCACCCTCCAGAAATATTTTCCTATAGTGGATAAGCTGCTCACGTTTCTTTTTGAATGGGCATCTCCTAAGGAAACGTATGTAGCATGACATGGGTACTAACTGCATCTGTAAATACATCATACTGGCAACCGTAAAATATAAATTATATATCATCACTGGTGTAGTATCTACAAATTTGTAACAGTGGGGAAAAGATGACATGGTATTTAATAATACAATAAAAATATTCTTATCACTTCCTGTCCATGAGTGTTGACTTGTCTTCTGTGTTTCATGTATTCTCAGTCTTCCTCAGTAGGGCTGTATAATTAATAGGAAAATGTAAAGCATAAACTAGGCTATCTTACCTAATCATGAAAATGAATTTAAATTCCCTTTTCAAGATATACTCCAACTTATCTCAGAGATCCTACCACACTCATTAAAAATGTACCTTTCAGAGTGCCTGTGCACTTAATTTTGTATTACAAATAAAAACTAAAATCCCTATGAAATCTGTAGAAAATAATCAGCTAGATAAGGAGTCTCTTTGAGAGCAAGAAAAAAATAGTTTTCCATAGCCAAGGAAAAGAATTAGAAAAGGTAACTGCTTATGTGTTTCTCAAGTGCTTTTTTTAAGAAAAGGATGCCTAATATATGACTGATATGTTTTTCAAAAGGGATTAAAAATACAAAGTGAATTAACTCCAAATTTTTTTCATCTTCAGCTAACACTTTCACTATTTTTTAAAAAATGCTTTATTTTCTATTGATGCTGTTGGAAAAAGTATCTTTTTAGATTTAATGAGTAGTACAGATTCTTTGCCTTTGCCCAGTCTGTTCAGCCACATTTCAAAGGAGTATTTCCCATTGCTCTTCTGCACCATTTGCAACATGTCCTGTCTGTGTTCTGTTTAAATGGGTCATTAGGATCTAAGGTAGTCCACCAGCATTTGGGGAGATAACAAATGGGGTTTTGAAAATGGGCCATGTTCAACAGGATTCTTAAGACAAACACAACAAAGCATAGTCTGTGTATATTTATTTGGTGGTAAGCATCTTACAAATATGAGCTGTCAGCCAGTGCGCTCAGTGTCCCAAACTGGCATGAGTATAGAATGTACACTGAATATGGTTTACAAAGAAATTTCAAAACTAAGTTGCCGCTTAAAAGAAAATAGTAAATATTGAGTGAATTGTGATTCAGTTCCACAGTGGCTTATAGATGTTAACATCTTCCTTAAACTGAACATAGTTTTGTAAATAATACAGCGTAAGATTTACAACAGAAGCATTAAACAGTTGGGGTGAAACAATGAAACAACCAAACTTAAAGGAGTTCTACACTTCAAAAAACTATTTAAAAGAAAGGTTTTAAATAGTTTCTTCCTCAACACTGCACACAAAACAGCTGAAGATGGCAATATGGGAGTGTCTCAACCCCTTCCAGTAAAGGAGCACCCTCCCCACCTCCAAACACTAACTCAAGAGTGGACCAGTACAGAAAATTGTGAAAATGAAATGTTCCAAGGGAGAGCCCTACACTCCCAAATGCAGCAAATATGCTCTTACATTTCCTGCTATGGACACATGGCTTGAATCTGGTTCCCATGTAAGTTTGGCACCAATCACATAATTCACAGAATATACAGTGTAAAATATCTGACCCTACAGAGACAGAAACTACATAGGCGCCTGTGATGGCAAGAGAGGAAAAAAAAAATGGTGACTACCACTTTTGGTAGCCAGAACCCTCTGAAGAACCGAAACATGCACGCACTCACTGCGACTTTCCATAGGAATTACAAATCAGAATTTGTTAGGGGCTCCAGAGTCTGGGGTAGAGGGGAAGGCGGGAAATGCTGTCAGTGGGAAAGTGGGGGAGGACTTAAAGCTGACGGTCTGACTGCGAATGTTGATTCCTTATACATACCTGCTCTAGAGAGAGCTCACACGTTGCTGCCCGCTCTTCTGGCGGAACACTGACTACTGGGAGTGTTAGGAGAGAAAACATGGCAAGTCAAGACAGTAAACTTGAAAGCCGAAGGAAGCCCCGCAGAAATCCTCATGATCTGTTTTCTCCATGGCCAACTTAGACATCTTCCACGTCTTTCAGCCTTCAACAGCCAGGCCGCAGTGGCATCTGCAGCAGCAACACCTGCCGACTTTCCGAGGGGTGGCACTTGTTGATGTGCCGGGTGAGCCCCGGGGAGCTAAAAAAAGTGGACGGGCAGTGCTTGCACGAGAAAATCTGCTGAGGGCTCCCATCGGGCGCCCCGCCTGGGCCCGGCGCCTCAGGAGGAGCCCCGGCCAGAGCGGGCAGGAGCAGCTCCTCGCGGACAGCATGCCACAGCCGGTGCTTCTCCCTGATGTCTGCAGACGGGAAGTGCGCCCCGCACAACGGGCAGGCGAAGGCCGGGGCGAGCGCGCGAACCGAGGCCGCCTCGTGAGTGCCCAGGTGCTTGCGCAGATAGGCTTGCCGACGAAACTTCTTGTGGCAGTATGGGCACACGAAGATCTCGGCGCCCCCACCGCCGCTGGCACCGCCCGGCCCGGGCACCCGGCGCCCCAGCACCCGCTCGGTGTAAGGGGCCTGCGGCAGCGACGGCTCCGGCTGCACGAGCAGCTGGAGGCCCTGGCGCGGGGCGCTGTCCTGGTGCTGATCCTGCGTGGAGCTGTCCGCGGCCCTCGGGTGCTGATCCGCGGTCCGCTCTGCCCGGCTGTTCTCCTTCCCCTCCGCCAGGAAAGACTCTGCCGCCCCGGAGTTAGTGGAGGATGAAGGCGGGGGCAGCGGCGGCTTCCCGTCGGCGGAGGAGACGGTGGCGTTTGCCACCACCGGACGCGGCTTGTGCCAGCGGCGATGGGAGGCAAGGTTCGCGGGGCAGCTGAAGACCTTGTCGCACTCAGGGCAGCGGTACTCGACGCGCACGATGCGGGAGCAGCGGTGCTGGGCCAACGCGAAGGGGTCTGCGTACTGCTCCTTGCACAGCTGGCAGATGAACTCCCCCAGCGGCGTGCGGCTGTCCCCCAGGCCCCGGGGCTGCGCGCCGGGTTCCTCCTCCTTGATCCTCAGGCCTAAGACAGGCGATGTGGTCACCTCATCTGCGAAGCTCAACTTCCTCATGGCCTTTGGCTTCTTGACTCCCGTGGCCGAGAGACCGGACGCGCAACCCAGAGGTACTTTGGTGCGGCGCTTCAGGCCGTGCAGGGTGGCCGACAGGGGTGCGGGGTCCGGCTGGAGCGCGGGCTCTGGGAATGGTGCCCGCAGCGGCAGCAGGAACTGGTCCCCCGGGGTCGGTGCGGAGAAAGCGGCCGCGGCCGCGGCGCCCCCGGGGAAGGACTCGGCGGAGACGGGCGAGCTGAGGCAGCGCTCCAAGAACGCCCGGCGCAGTTCGGCGCCCGCTGGCTTCGCGGGGCTGGGGCTGGGCCCGGTACCCTCCCGGCCATCCGCCCTCCACTCTGTGCGTTCCCGTCCGCCCGCCCCCGGGCTCACCCCAGCCGCCCGACAGGGCGACCCCGACAGTGCCCAGGCTGCCTCCTCTGGCCCCTTTCCCGGCTCCTCCTGGGTGGGGGGCGCCTCCGGCTCCACCCTGGGCAGAGAGGAGCTGGGAGCCCCCTCGGGAAAGGGCAGCACCACCTGGGGTCCCGGCAGAGGGAAGCCTCGCTCCGCCAGGCGCACCCGGTAAGAGCCGCCTGTCCGTTTAGTTCGCTTCACCAGAAAGCCCCTCGGCATGGCGGGGTCAGCGGCGCTGGGGGGACCTGGAGGAGTAGGGGTGCGCAGGTGCCGAGTGCGGGCTGGCTCAGGAGCCACACGGGCGCCACTGCGGCGGTCATGCCCGCGCACACTTTATAGCTGAGACGCGCCTGGGGGGGGCCGCGGGCCGCCCCCCACCCGGGGCCGCCCCCGCCAATCCGGAGTGGGAGCGGGCACGGGGGCGGGGCTCTCGGGGTGGGGGGGGAAGCGGGCAGGACCCCGCCTCGCAGGAACTCCAGGCAACCACGCAGGAAGGTGAGAGCGCTGCTCTCCCAGCCTCGCGGCCCCTGGGGAAGGGGAGGCCGGGGAACCGACCAGTGAGTGCCGGCAGGGAGCGGGTCCGGGGCTCCGCCCGTGCCGAGCAAATGAGGCGCTGCGCCCGAGCGGCAGGGCGGCTTACCCAGCCACGCTGCGCCTCCACTTGACGGTGGGAGCCCGTCTGCCAGGCGCTATCGATCGGCGCCGCGCGCCTGTGATACTATGAGAATCCATCTGCCCAGAAGGGCTCTCAGCGCAGGCCGCGCGTGCTGGCGGCCACCCAGCTCGGGCGCCGCGCGGTTGGGCCCCAGGCCTCCAGGCGGATAAGTGCCCCCTCCCCGATGGGACTCGGAGCCGGGAGGGGAAAGGAATCCAATTTCCACTGTCCTCACCTAGAGTGGCTTCTCCGTTCACACTTCCCACTCATACTGCCCAGAGACACGACCTGTTCAGCATGGAGTAGCTCGAGCGAGATCCGCACCGGGGAGATCCGCGCTGCATCTGCGCCCCGCACGTGGCCCGCGGCTGAGCTGTGCAAAGGCTGTGCTGGAGACCAAACCCCAGCCCTGTCCTCCAGCCCCTGGCAAGGAGCCCGGCGCTGCCTTAAGAACTAGAAGCGATGAGGAAGTTTGGGGTACGGGTGAACTGAGAGACACCCCACAATGCGCGACAGGTAACGAATCAGTTCAAGAAACACCAAGAGGAAAGAGCCTTCGTGTCCGAGTCTACGCACCCGGCCAGGCCGAGCCTAAGGCCCAGGGAGGTGGCGTCTCCCGTGGGCAGGGCAGCAGCACAGATCCAGTCATCAACAAAACACGTTGTGTTCCTGACTGAGGCGTTTTCACATGAGGACACTAGGGAGACTTGGAAGTTACTATACGTGCATTTATGAACCACCGACTATGCGCTGGGCACTCTGCTTGAACCATCCCTGATTCTCTCTCCCCCCTCTCTCCCTCTCCCTCCCTCTCCCCTCCCAGGAAGCAGTTTTTTTTTGTTTGTTTGTTTTTTTGTTTTTGTTTTTGTTTTCTAATGAAGGAACTGAGCCCTAGGAAAGCGAGATAACTGACAAGAGTCACACGGAGCCCAGATTCCAACCAAGGACTGGCCAACTCCAAAGCCCAAATCCTAGATGCTACACCAGTGGCTCCAAACTACACTTTTCCTGGACCATATCCCCAATAAATACACTTGATAGCGCACACATGCACACATAACACAAAGGTTTCACCATAACATAATCCTCTTAACTAGCTGCCATGTATTCTAATATTCCCCATTTAATTCTATTGTATTTTTTTCTAAATATTAGTCATAGTAACCAAATTGATTTTATAACCGAATAATGGATTAGGATCCGTAGTTTGAAAATCACATGTATACTATTCAAGAGTATCAAATCATGCAACATTACAATAAGCCTGACACTTTATCAAAATTAATATTCCAAATCACATTTAAAATATTTGAGTCCCTAATAGTGTTTGTAAACTTCATTTCCTCCATTCATCATTTGACGTGTCAGTTTCTATGTAACTTCTAACTCAAATTCTTCTCTTTCTCCACATCCCCAGATATGTTGTGGTGTGAGAAACCTGATTTGAGAATTTCAACACTTTCAGATAAGGAGGACCTTTCTCCGGAGCTGTAGTACTTTGCAAGAACTGCTTTCAAGTGTTGTTTACAAAATCCAGTGGTTCCAATAGTTCTCCCTTTCTCTTCCTCCCAAGTAAAATTTGGTTACAGCCTTTATGACATTGGTATAACAATGTATGTCAGGAACTTAAAGAAAAATACATACACTGGGTCAGGTGTTTGGCCAAGTAGTTAAGACTCTGCCTCCTGACTCCAGCTTATTGCTAACGCCCACCATAGGAAGCTGCAGTAGTGGTTTAAGTAGCTGAGTCCCTGCCACCCATGTGGGAGGCCTGGATTGAGATGACAGCTCCTGGTTTCAATCCAGCCCAGCCCTGGCTGTTGGGGAGCACTTGGCAGGGTTTGGGAGTGGGAGTTGGGGGGTGTTAGGGCTGCACCAATGAATGGGAGCACTCTTGTGCGTGTGTGTGTGCTCTCCCACAAACAAAAGACATACAAGTCATACAAAAGAAGAGCAGAGGTTTATGCACAGAGCCATTTATCACAGTGTTACCTGTCATTATAAGCAAGCTGAAACTCCCCTCAATAAATCACGGTGTCACTATACCTTAGATGGTTATGCATCCATAAAAATGCAGTGATGTGGACAAAGATATATACCGTAAGGTGAAGCCAAAACAGCAGGACACAAAAGTAGCCTGTGTAATAGAGGGCTGAATTATGAAAGAACATAACACCTACAACACCAAAAGGAAATACACCAAAATATGGTTGGGATTGCCCCTGGTTAGTAGGAAATTAAATAATCTTCAGTTGTTTGGATTTTTTAAACTTTTTTTTTGTTAAATAGTTGCAACAAGCACATATTACTCTGATGGTCAGAAAAAGTTCATTCAAACCTGCCTTAAATCCTTGCTGCTGGCAAATGTGCTACCCTTCCCCAAGAACATGTTTTCAAATGGAGACCAGCACGGGTCAGTGGCAGTCTCCAGGGCCACCTGTTGAATCCTGGCCTGAGGAAAGGGGCGATCAGCCCCCACTGCCACAGTTTGTCCAGCGGACTTTTGTGAAGAAGCTCAGGGTTAAAAAAAAAATGCAAAAAATGCAAAGGTTAAAAGGTGAGGGAGAGGGGCCGGCGCCGTGGCTCACCTGGTTAATCCTCCGCCTGTGGCACTGGCATCCCATATGGGCACCGGGTTCTAGTCCCGGTTGCTCCTCTTCCAGGCCAGCTCTCTGCTGTGGCCCGGGAAGGCAGTGGAGGATGGCCTAAGTGCTTGAGCCCTGCACCCGCATGGGAGACCAGGAGGGAGCACCTGGCTCCCGGCTTCGGATCGGTGCACTGGCCATAGCAGCCATTTGGGGGGTGAACCAACAGAAGGAAGACCTTTCTCTCTGTCTCTCCCTCTCACTGTCTGACTCTGCCTGTCAAATTAAAAAAAAAAAAAAAAAGAAAAGGTGAGGAAGAGAGCGAGCTTAGGTGCATACTCCCCACCTGACTACAAACCTAAATGACTCCTAAAGATGTGAACACTGCTTTCTCTTAAGAAATTATGATAAACAGGGCAAAGTGGACACAGTTGTGAAATCTTTATTTTATCTACATCCTTTTTCCTCACAAGGATGAATTTTTTCTTTTTTCTTTTTAATATGTATTTGTGTGAAAGGCAGAATTACAGAGAGGGAGACAGGGATCTCCCATCCGCTGATTCACTCCCCAAATGGCCACAATGACTGTGGCTGGACCAGGCAGAAGGCAGAAGCCTGGAACTCTATCCAGGTATCCCAAGTGGGTGCCAGGGGCCCAAGTACCTGGGGCCATCTTCCACCACTTTCCCGGCACATTAGCAGGGAGCTGGAATGGAAATGGCGCAGCCTGGACTCCTACAGAATGCTGGCAGGCATTGAAGGTGGTGGCTTAACCGCCTGCACCACAATGCAGGACCCACTTTTTCTCCTTTTCAACCTTTAGGACCTTCCCTTGCTCTCAGCTGTATTTTGATAAAAGCAGATACACACTGGATGATCTCTCAAGCTATTTATATTTTACATTTTCTATCTCCAATTATGGAATGAGTGACTTTGGTGTAAGGTGGAAGTGTTCAGACAATAGAAATGCGGGACATTCGTGAAGCCAGAGCGCGGGCGAGAGGAGCCCCGATGACTCACTTCGCATCACTCCAGGCTCTGGGGCTGCGCAGGAGGACCTGGATTTCTCCTTTCTCTGCAGCCTCACCTCCACCGAGGTGTGTCGCTGTGAAAGGCTGACATCCGCCGCAGTGACTGTAAGCGTCCCGTCCCCAAGAACTTGGAAGTCAGTGCCTTCTCAAATCGGAAACTCCTGATTTCCCCTCCTAAACTCCATCTCCATCTCCGGTTTCCTGTCAGTAAGTGGCACCTTCATTCATTTGGCTACCCAGGGCAAAGCTCGACTCGTGAGCAGCTCCAGTCACTTCCCTCTTCAAAGCTTTTCCTGAACCTGAACTCTCACCAGCAGAGAACTTGGTCTCTTGCATCCACCCCTGCCCCACGATAGTGCGCTCTCTCTTCAGCCAGAAGGTGGAGCTTACTGGAATAGCAATCTGACCTTTTCAATGCGCTTTTGCTCAAAATCAAGACTTTTCACCACATTTAGAACAGAACCAAACGTTCTAATTGCCTGGCTATTTTTTTAAAGCACAGGACAGAAATACAGAGGTCATCCACGTGCTGATTCACTCTCAACATGCCCACAATAGCTAAGGCTGGGCCAGGCTGAAGCCACGAGCTGGAAACTCAATTTGGGTTTCCCACATGGATGGCAGGGACCCAATTATTTAAGCCATCACCTGCTCATACAGACCCTGAAGGAACCAGCAGGTGGGATCTCTCTCTCCCCCACCTCTCTCCCAACATACATATATATGTCTTTCAAATAAAGTTGTAAAACATCAGGAGGAGGGCTGGTGCTGTGGCATAGCAGGTAAAACCACTTCCTGAAGTACCAGCATCCCACATGGGTGCAGGTTATACTTCTGGCTGCCCCACTTCCAATCCAGCTCTCTGCTAATGCACCTGGGAAAGCAGCAGAAGATGGTCCAAGTCTTTAGGCCCCTGAACCCATGTGGGAGACCTACAAGCAGCTCCTGGCTCCTGGCTTTGGGTCAGCTCAGCTCCAGCCATTGCAGCCATCTGGGGAGTGAACCAGCAGATGGAAGACCTCTCTCTCTCTCTATCTCTCTCTCTCTCTCTCTCTCTCTCTCTCTCTTTCTCTCTGC